GAGTACACATTTGTCTTGGTCAGGTTGGGGTGCCACACACTGGATGGCTTAAACCATCCTTGTTTGTTTTTATTGGTTCTGGAGCTGTTCCAAGAGGTTCAGTATCAAGAGGCCAGTCAGCTTCCTGACTGAGGTCTCTCTGGCTTGTCAATGGTCAACTCACTGTATCTCCCTGTGGTAAAGAGGGAACTGGCTTTGGGTCCTCTTTTCTTTTTTTTAGAACAATAATCCCAACATGGGGCCCACTCTCGAGACCTCGCCTAAACCTAACTAATTCATCAAGGCACCCTTCAAACACTATCACCATGGGGATGAACATCAACCTGCCCATTTGGAGTAGGGAAACACAAATACTCAGTCCATTACAACCTTAAAGTTGAGAAGTACAGAACCAAGACACAGCCACCTTTCTCCCTACCCAGTAAATACTGTGATTTCCTAAAGCACCCCAAACTCTGTGGGCATCCTTGACCTTGCAGTTGACTTGGACCTACAAGAAAACACCTAGTTGTAGTATGTTGGATTGCCCCAAAATACTTGAATGCTACACAAAAATTCTGACCATCCATCAGGACACCCCATCATTATGTAGAAACTCTGATACCTCAACCATGTTCCCCAAAGACAAGAAGACATTATAAGATCAATGTGGCATCTCAGGAGACCATAGCTCCTCAAGAGACTGGGACTTGTCCAAACATATTCTACTCTAGGGCATACTGATTCCCACCTCCAACCCAGACCCTCAGAGAAATCTAACTCCCAGAATCCTCTGATTCTATCCCAGATAGAAGGATGTAGTGGGGGAGGAGCCTTAGGATCTAGTCAAACTGCCATGAATTCAAATCCCAGCAATACTGCTTAGTTCTTATGTGACTGTGGGATTTCTGTGTAACATCTCCGTTTTTTAATTTCACCATCTGTGGTCACTAACACAATCAATTTTCCTTATTTGGGGTAGATATGTTTCATAAAGTCACCAGAAATGCTGAAATGGTGAATAGAGAGCTACTACCTGTTCAGTAGCCTCTTTATACCAGTGAATGTTTAACCTTGTGTTAGGTATGTTTTGGTATTCAGTTTCATTTTGTTTGAATAAGCACTATTTAAAAATATTACATTTAAATTATATTTAGTATTTAAAACACAATAACATTTGAAATATATTATTGATTCGTTAGTACCAAGCTCAGCCAATGGCACAGTAGCTCATACCTGCACAAAGCTTATCTCAGACATGGAATTTCTCTGTAAGCACATGACAGCATGTCTGCTTTGAGGAGCTTAGATGGCACTTCACACTGCACTTGGGGTCACTTTAAGCAGCAACATCATTGATAGAGGGTTCTAACTAATTAATTCCCATTCTACCCCCTTACAGTGTATTCTGTGTACCCTTGAATGATGGTACAGCAGACCAAGGGTGGGTGTTTCTCAGAGAGAGGCTATTCAGATGCCAGCCTGGTCATGTCCCTTGTGGGGCTTAGCTAAGGTGTGAATTAGCTAAGGAGGGTGCGAGGCCTCTGTTAGGCCATAAATCAATCACCGTGGAACTGCAGTTTAGGGCTCAGTTTAGCCACCATGATCAGGGTTTCCCAGTCTTGGAGCACAGACAGAGCAGCCTATTGCATACACTGTCCGGATCATTCAATCACACATTCAGTCAGCAGCACTCCGAGGTTAAACATTCCAGTCCACTTCCTTGAGGGTGGCCTTAACTAATAAGTGACCAAGCTCTTCTTCTGCTCAAACTGTGTAGAGCTGACAGACTGACTAAGTGGGTTGCCCACAGGTCTTACTGGAATTAGGCAGGCAGGCAGACAGGCAGACAGACAGACAGACAGACAGACAGCATTCTCCTCCCTTTGGGGTTCAATGTGAAACATTTGAGTGGGGAGCCTGGAATCCTCCTCCAGACCTCCTTGATAAATCTTGAGGGTGCACCTTCCTATCAGGCCCTGGAGAGGTCCTTGCACCTTCCATGAGGGCCATGACTGGTGACCAAAGAGGCCAGCATGTTCTGTCATCTTGACTGATACACCAGAAACACTGACACATCACCCAACATTTGAAGGTAGATTTATTTATGTCAAAGAGCACCAATTGGGATCATGCCCAGAATATCAGGCCTTGACCTCTGGTGGTCTTGGGCACTTGTGGCACAAGCCAGCAGGAAGTACAGGGCAGAATGGCTTGTCCATTGGGGGTTGGTTGATACAGCATGCATCACAGTGACCAGCCGTTTCTAAGAGACAGGAGTAACTGTATCTGGAGCAGGAACCATGACCCAGGCAACTAACAAACTGAAGCAGACCAAGTTGGGGGCATTTTCTGCTACATGAGAAGCCCCAGGATCTGCAGTCAGCAGGATGGAGACCCAGGAATTCCAGGCTGAAAGCTATCATGCTCGAGACCTAAAAAGAATCTTTGTTTCAGTTTAAATCTCCAGGCAGGAAAAGACCAAGCCCCAGTGAAAGAATTCAGGTAGAAGTTGTCTTTTAAAGCAAGATATTGTAGTCTTGTCTTCTCTGTCAAACGACACGACGTAACAGGAGTTTATGTAAGGTGCTTCCCTAGGCAGCCCTACCACTCACACTAAAATTATAAAAGTGTCTAAGCTACAGACCAAAGAGCTGTCAACAGCCAGGGACTTTGGGATCACATTCTGTTGCCTCAGATCTTTTTCATATTGATTTCATACTATGTTTGCAATCCGCAGAAAGAGTGTGTGTGTGTGTGTGTGTGTGTGTGTGTGTGTGTGTGTGTTTAATGTATTTTAGTACAGGGTCTACAGGGTGTCACCACATGGATCAGACTTGTAGTGACCCTTCTGTTTTCAGCCTCCCAAGCACTGGGATTACAGGCATGCACCACCATGCCCAGTCTCCATCGCTGTCTCAGGGCACCCTGGGGATGAGGATTGAACCTAAGCAGGTACTTCAGTCTGCTGAGCTATTTGGCCAGTCCAAGAATGTATCTTTGTTGGAGAAATGTCACAGTTGGTTTTTTCCAGAAGGACAACTTTTCAGCTCTCAGCCCCAAAGTAAACTTTTAAAAATTTTTAATTAATTAATTAATTTTTTGGATACGGGGTCTCACTGTGTGATTCAAGCTGACCTTGAACTCATGGTATGCATCACCATACCTGACCCCAAATAAACTTTTATTGATGAATATTTACATGAGATGACAAACTGAAAATTAAGTGTACAACAGCAAACGAGTCTATGCACTATTGGAGTGCCCTTGTCCCCAGTTGCTGTGTCCATGAGCACAGGAACAAAGAATGTTCAGCTGTTGAGGAATCGGCCCCAGGGGCCCCAACTTGGCCTGGATCTTCAGGGACACTGCAACCTCCAGGGGTGGAGGATCCAATTACATGCTCCCAGTCATCCAAGCTGGAGCCAGGGGAGCCAGCATCTTCCTCTAAGCCCTCTCCCATAGGGAGGACAGGCCGCTCAGTCTTCAGCTGAAGAAGCTGTGACTTTCTCATCACTTACAGTCTGGCAAGCAGCTATTAGAGACAGGAGGTGACTGAAAAAGCCAGCATCAGATAAGAAGGGCTGGGAAAGTATGTGAGGGCAGTTAGCGGCAGCCGCAGCCTGAGCCACATGGACACCTACACAGACAGTGACATTCGGAAAAGGAGACCTGCTAGTCCCTCTGCATCTGACCAAGCTCAGGGGGGAGACTGTCTCTTGTTGGACCTGCACGAGCCTTCCCTTTAGATGTGCTGACCGCCCCACAAGGATGCAGCAAATGCATTTCCATGATGGACTAGAAAAGCCAGCGGTGAGAACACTGGGTCTAGACCAGCAAGTGCAGGCACCTAAAAAGCTTGGCCAGAAGCTCGGATACAAGAGCCACCCTTCCTGCCACCTCAAGAGAGACACTACTTGTCAGACCTCTAGGATCCTCCCGAGTGGCCCCAGCCTCCAGCTCTGGGCTAGTTTCTTTCCTGTATCTGCGCACTGTGGTCTATGAGTGCATAATAAATGCCTCTGAAGGGTGCCGGGGCGCCACGCTGAGCCCCATAGAGGCGCATGGGCTGAATTGGGTCCAGAGACAAAGCAGCCTTATTTTATGTCAATTCTTTTCTTTCTTTCAGTACTGTGACTTGAATTCAGGACTTGCACTTGCCATGCAGACGCTTGTGCCACTGAGCTATATCCTTGCCCAAGCAGCCTTATTTTAAGACCCAGAGACACAAATACACCCCAGATATGTCCAGTGTCTCACTTGGCCCCACGGACACCAATGTTTCTAAGATACACAAACTAAATGCTGCTACTGCAGGTGCTGGTTGGAGCACTCTTCCTACAGGAAGCTGCGGGGGAAAGGACAAATTAAAATCTAGAGGATGCAGATGAATGTCTAACCAAAGTATGAGGGATTTAATACCATATGACTACAGAACGCAGCAAGCATATTTCGGCCATAGAAATAGAAAAGTACGCGATGGAGAAGGCAGTGGACAACTAGGGCTATCAGTTACTTGGGAAGTCACAATTAGCAGGAGTTTAAACCATGAAATGATATTTTATTTTTGAGTAACTGATCTCCTGTGGGCAGATCCTGTAAAAACATCCTAGTTGGATTCCATTGCTTTTAGTAATGATACCTTATGTAAAACACTTATTCATTAGTGAAAAACATCTAAAGCTTTATTTTTTTTCTGCATTTAGGGAAGGGTCTACAGGGTATTCAGGGTCTCGCTACATAGATTGGACTCAGAGTGATTCTCCTGTTTTATAGCCTCCGAAGTGCTGCGATTATAGGTGCACACCACCATGCCCAGTCTCGTTCAAAGCCTCAGCGTGCCCCTGGTCCCTATGTCTACCTAAGCAAGCACTTTAATCCGCTGAGTTATTTGGCCAGGCCAACATCTAAGATTTTAATCTCTTCCACAGTATTTCTTGGGGTGGTGCATGATGTGGTTGCAGTCCTATACACCTTGTCTCTGTCCCTCTTTGAGAACTACTCTTTCTGCATAGTTGGAGCACAAATCCAGGAGATTCTCTCCTTGAGCTCTCCTTGGCTATGTAAGGAAGCTGTCCCTCCCGTGTCACTGTTTGCAGACTTTCGGGCCAACACTGACTTCTCTGTGGCAGGAATACCGAAGCTAACTCCCGTACAGCTTGTGTCTTTGGGTTCCTCACAGGTCCTTCTCCAGGGACCGCCTCTCTGTGACGGTCTCAGAGCACGGAGACCCAGTTCTCACTCAGTTGACCTCAGCCCTGAAAGCCCCATCAACTGGAGTTCACACTGCAGCCCAACGGATGGTATCCCTTCTAGCAAGTATCACTTCTGCCTTGGGTGTTACCAGGATGTCGCAAGTCAGCTGCAGGACCACACCCTGGTGACTGCTAGCAGCAAGTGCCTCCCGTTGTTGTGGGGAGTTCTTGGGGACCAGGAAGCCCCTCCCAGTGGGGTCTGGTGGCAGGGGCTAGTCGGTTCTGCATGGCTGCTGCTTCCTATTTGAGTGCACTTACTGTACTGACTGGGGGATGTTGGGTTTGGACCTGATGGGATTACCTCATCAGATGTTCAGAGGAAGTGGCCAGCCTTAACCCAGCTCTCTTGACCTAGAGTTGTGGGTATTGATGGCGAATTTCCCTGTGTGTCCTTATCCACAGCTTGCAGACAGCAGGAACCCCACAGCCACCCTGCAGTATGTCTCCCACCTTTTGCTTCATTCCCATTATGTGGAGAGCAGTCCGCCACTAAGGCCAGCTCACGCACGTGTGTGCTGAGGCGCAGCGGGAAGCGGGGCTGCGGCCCCGGCATCCAACCACTTATATCTGGGGGTGCAGCTGGCCACACGGACGGCGCTGAGGGCTTTCCTTGGTGCAGGGCCTGCTCTTGGTTTCCGCATTCCACACTGAGCACCTTCTTCCCCCCTTCTTTCAGTAGACTAGCTCCAGCCTAGTACTGAGATTACTCTTTCTTATTTTTATTTTTTATTTATTTTTATTTTTATGTTTTTTAAAGAGGATAAAAGTGATAATAAAAATTAGCAATGATGCAGAATTTCACTAAACAAAATAATAGGAATTTGACAATATTTGTCATATTGCATAGTGTTCTCTTCAACTTAGTTGTTTAGATTACCAGATTGAGAATACTCTAATCTAAAACATAATTCACAAGAAATCTCTTCCAATCTCAGAAATTTTGTGCTGATTTTTTACTAATTTAACTCCTAGAATGCTAAGGTACCTCGCAATTCCCATATTATCATGGTGAAAGTGTCATGCACGTCCTACATCCTAGCTCCGAAAGCATTGCCCATAACGTTCTCTGCACCAGCCAGCTAAGCCATTTAACCTCTCTTCCCCCCTCCAGTTACGTACTTCAGCCCTTTGCTCCTACCAGGAATGCTGTGTCTGCTCATCTCTCCTATCCAGACACTTCGCATTCATCCAAGGCCACTGAAAACCCAGTGTCATCTCTGACTCTTCCTGTCTGGATTGATTTCTTGATGCTGGGCTTATCATTCCGGCATACCCCATAACCTTACTCTCTAGAAACCTCTCTTTCCCCTTCTAAATACAATACCAAATGCCACAACTCACTGATATTCTTCCTTTGGGTCACATAAGGGAGAGAGGTGTCTCTGAGTAGAATCCGGTGCAACAAGTTCGTTAGCCTGCTCAGCCCCCGCAGCTGAGGACAGACCGCAGCTTGAAGCTGTGTTATGAGGTAGAGAATAAGCACAGCTGAAAAGCAGCAGCATGCTGAAGGGAGGCAAGAGACCTGGAACGGATCCGAGCTGTATAAGGAGCATTTGCCCAGGTAAAAAAGAATTAATGATCTTGAATAAACCACATGCCTTTGCCTTCAGTTTGTCCTTTTGCTAAATGAAGTTAGGATTTACCTGTTCAAATTATAGTTGTTGATGCATATTAATTATACAAGTGAGTGGGTTTCACTGTGACATTTCTATACATGTGCATGCTTTGACTGTGTCCACTCTCCTACAGTGCCCTGGCCTCCCCTTTGATCTAGGTATGTCAAGCTTGTAGGTTTTAACACACAAGAACTGAGAAAGTACATGTGAAGCAGGAGGCTAGTACCTCGTGCTTGGTGAATCAGTAGGCGGGAGCTAGTGAAAATCTGGAGGCAAAGCCTTGGAGACATGTAAGGAAAAGGGCTCTGTGCCTGCATTTGGGCTGCTAAGTGTACAGATTCCATGAGTGAGGGAATCTAATTTAAACTCCGAGTCACAGGCTCATCTGACTCCTCTTTTTGTTTTCTTCTTCTACTAACAACACAATTATTTATTTTGAGGATGAAAGAAATAGCGTATACAAAAATACTTTGTATGTACTAGATGTCCACTAAATGTTAGTGAAATATGAATTAAGCACATCTATCAAATATAATTAGATACTACAAAAACCAATCAGCTCTTTTTTATAGTGAAACAAATTGTGTATGATTAACTAACATGACTTAATGAAACACAATGGTAAAAACATTACCATAAAAATTCTGCTCAAATGATGACAGATCGTATCAATTTCATGTAATTTATGTTTGAAATTACATTAATTAAGAAATCAAACTGATCTAGTGTTCTTAAAATTATAATTTCTAAATGATTGGGCTGTGGATGAGCTATTGCGTACTGTGCATAAAGCCCAGGTTTCCTTTCTAGCACTGAAAACAACGGCAATCTTTTAACAAAGGGTGGAGCTTAAGTAATTAAATCTTTATTTTAAAGCACATTTATCTCCCTCATAGATGTGGGCAGAATCAACCAGACAAAAACCACAGAATTCCTCCTCCTGGGACTGTCTGGGAATCAAGAGCAGGAAGAGGTGCTCTGCGGGCTGTTCCTCTGCACGTACCTGGTCACCATCACCGGCAACCTGCTCATCATCTTGGCCATCACCTCTGACCCTCACCTCCACACGCCCATGTACTTCTTCTTGGCCAACCTGTCTGGGGTTGACATCTGCTTCCCATCAGTCAGTCCCCAAGATGCTGGTGAGTCATGCAGTGGGCAGCGAGTCTATCTCTTACACACAGTGCATGGCCCAGATCTACTTCTTCATCACTTTCATCAACATGGACGGGTTCCTGCTGAGTGTGATGGCCTATGACAGATATGTGGCCATCTGTCGTCCACTCCACTACACCCTGATCATGAGGCCCAGACTCTGTGTCCTCCTGGTGGCTGTCTGCTGGGTCATTACAAGCCTGCATGCTCTCCTCCACACTCTGCTCATGGTTTGACTCAACTTTTGCTCCAACAACACTGTGCACCACTTCTTCTGTGACCCCTACCCACTCCTGAAGCTCTCTTGTTCTGACACCCGCATCAATGACATGGTGGTCTTCACTGTGGGTGGGTTGGTGTTTCTGACACCATTTACATGCATTGTCATTTCATATGTCTACATCTTCTCTAATGTGCTGAAGTTGCCCTCGGCCCAGGGAATAAGGAAAGCCCTGTCCACGTGTGGGTCCTGCCTCACTGTGGACTCTGTCTTCTATGGGGCAATCTTGGGCGTCTACATGAGACCTTCATCCTCCTACTCAATTCAAGACACAGTGGCCACTGTCATCTTCACAGTGGGGACACCTCTAGTCAATCCTTTCATTTACAGTCTGAAGAATCATGGCATGAAACAAGCTATATGGAAACTAATAATTAGGAGATTAGTTTTGTCAAGATTCTAGAATTTGAAAATTTTAGAATGGAGACAACTAAGAACAGAGAGGCCTACATAGATATAAAACTTACAACTGTTCTAATTAGTGATACTGATCACTCCTTATTTTTATTTATTTATTTATTTATTTATGTATTTAGTGCAGGGTCTACAGTGTCTCACTACACAGATTGGACTCGTAGTGATCCTCCTGTTTTCAGCCTCCCAAGCACTGAGATTACAGGCAAACACCACCATGGCTGGTCTCAATCGCCTCCCTGGGAGTGGGACCTGGGGGATGAATCCTTGTCCTTGCATCTGCCTAAGCAGGTGCTTTAGTCCACTGAGATGATTATTTATTTTTAAATAGGAAGTTGATGAGTGTTCCTAAGTGATAGCACCATTAATTTATTATCTACATTAGAGGCTAATTCTATGACCCTTATTGTATAGATTAAAAGTATACTGAGGTTCAGGTGAATTAGTTTTGTTGACCCAATATGACGTTTGGATGTATTATTAAGGGTAGGTCCAGAAATATAGTTGACCACCCACCAAAAATACATCTGGAATTGCCTGTGTCAAATAGAGCCACATATGACCACTGAAGTGTCACCAGTCTCACGGCAATGATCCTATTGTGTGTAGTAGTGAATTAAAAATATGCTGGAACTCATCAAATACTTCGAAATACTAGGACTATCTTAGTGTTAACTGTCATGAAACCACATGAGGCAATAGTAAAAATATTTCCATTTTACAGAACTAGGGGATTGAGTCATGCAGAGATTAATTTGTTTTTTAAATTTTTTAATTTTTTCCCATAATTTTACTGAGAAACAAATAGCAAGGAGACAGTTTCAAACCAAATTGGTAGGACAGTTTCAATAATTAACACATTGCATACATTCTTCCTA